TCTAAAGGCCAGAAGCAAGCGTGTGTGTATATATAAGAATTATTTTAAAGCCTTTTATACTTTGGGCACAAGAAAGAATATATAGCAGAGATCATCAATTACAACGTTCGTGACGGCGCAAACGGTACAACTGCATGGAATACATGCAAAGTTTAAGTACTTTATTGATATTGCTTGCGCCACGCATATTTGTTCCCATAATTTTCAATTACGGCGAAACACTGATGACTCGAAAAGATTGTTGAATTTGCATTTAAAATTTCGCTTTGAAGAATCATCACATTAACGGAATATCGATATTTCCGTTTGCTGCGCTGCACTCGGCATATACACGCCAGTCGTATATATTTGCGACAGAACGACCGAATAATTTCGTCTGTGTAATGAGTTCGCCCCCTCTTTCCTTTTTTAGTTTTGTTTCTTGCAATGTTCTGGCAATCTTTCACCCTTCCCCGAGCAGAAGCACTCTTTTCATCGGTCGTTCTCCCTGGAAATACGCGAGCGTGCACGTACGCAATGTGGCCTCGAAATGGCAAAAGAAGCCGGAATCTTTATTACAAATCTGAGTGCACCTGTGCGCGCATACAGAGTGGTGCTTGCATTCGAGGATCGCGGTAGGAATAAGGGAGGTCGTTTTATTTCGACGGTGTTTCAATTTAGCGACTGCTGTGAAAGAGTTTTGAGCTTTTATCGCGTAACTTTTACCCGACAAGAGCGAAGAAAATAAAAGGAAGATGAGTCGAGGGAGCGCGAAACAACCCGAAATATAGGAAACGAGAGACGTCGCGACCAGGCACGAATATTGCATACGCCGTATATCAGCGTTTGGAATTTAAAAAATAAGTTAATATAAACAGCGGTGATGAGTTAATTTTCTGAATATTCTTACGTATCAAAATAGCTGCGATTCTTCAACGACTTTATATTTAAATAATGCAAAATAATTGAAAATTATGATAATCCTCTTATTTAAAATACAGTTATCGAATTAAATAATTTTCAGACAAATCTGTTGATTTAATTTTACATTGCTCTTCCTTTCAACTCATACATAACATCTTTTAGTATGATAATATCAGATTGCAATAATGACTGTGACGTCAGATTTAAAAAAAAAAAACGCGCATTGAGCGAGATCGGAAAAAAGTTATGATAGGAGTGTCAGTCTTATCACGACTTTCAGAGCCAGTCTTATCGTAGTTTTCCAGAGGAACTTGCTTAAGCGCTGACGTATTACACGCCGAGTTGATTAGCGTTCTTTTAAATTAAGTTTTTATTGCGATAATTGCCAGTGGAGAGACCACCCGGGAACGCTTCAGCGCTGACACTCGCATAATTGAGAAAGGACTTTCCAAGTGTATCCATAGTTTCCCTGCAGTGGCGGGATTCCGTTATTATCCGCCGTCATCTAATTGACTTCTTATTACGTTAATGAGACGCCACGACTGGCTAGCCGTGCACGTTTCTGTATTCAATGAAGATGAAATTTCACGAACGATTTTATCGTATATATATCTCTCCCTTTTTGTCGTCTCACCGGTTTCTGATGCATAAATCAAGTCCTATTTAGCTTTCAACTTTAACCTACTCCGAACCCAATGCACGATTAAGTGGATTCCTTTTTTACAACGGCTGTAAATGGAGCCTGAAATCGGAATAGGATTCGCGGCAGTTATATCGAAGATCTCCGGTTAGGTGCTGCGGTTTATCGCTGCAGCGAAAGACTCGTCGCGCGATTGTTTCGCTCCACGCGATTCTCTCCCGTATTTATTTTCGCCTTAACGGGCACGGAAATAAAACGTTCGACGAATAAAATGCAAGCTGGAAAAAATTGAATTTTATGAAAATTAGCACTTTCTCTAACACGCGGCGGAGAAACGTATAGCGTTTACGTTTACATAGATGCCGTCGGTCCGCGTGATTAAAGGGAGCGAACACGCGAACATACGTGTTCACGCAGAGTATGTTGTAACACAATGTAATAAGTCACATGCGACTCGTGACATGAGGAATAATACCCCGTCGTTGATTCTGCAATATTTTCCTTAGGAAAAAATGCTGAGTGGTCTGCAAAAACGTATAATTGCATGCAGTGAAATTACGCTTACCTGCATCGTGAAGCCGTTGACGTCGCCGAGAAATGGGTGTTAACATAAATTATGCGATAAGTTTCTTTCTCCGCTCCACTGAAAATAATTTTTCGTCGATTCTCCAGAATAAATATTATCTGTTGAACCATCAGAAGACATGCGATGTAAAACAATTGAGAATCGCCGGCAAAACGAGAGATTGTATGTCGATTTAATTATATTCTTTTTATGAAAATGAAGGTACTTTCTCTAAGAGATAGGAAATGAGCCTCTCATTATACTCATGTAGTCACGATTAATGTTTTATTGAATGTAGTTAGAATGTTTAGTATTTACATTGATTCCACGTATCCAGATAAATAATGTCGATGAGCGCGTGTCCGCATCGCCACGTGTCACGCGTGCCGCGCATAAAAGTCGATGCACACGCCTAAGTTCGTGACACCAACGCATTTCCCATCGCAGAAAAGCCACGAAATCAGCTCATCGAGCTCGCCATTCGCGAAGCATCGATGACCGTCGCGGAGAAGCGAGAACCCTTTCGAACTACACTCCTTCGTCACTTTTTTTTCTTAATTCACACTCGAAAAACTGACGCTAAACACTCGACATTTAGATGACAAATGCCTAGACAATATCTCAGAGGCATTGTTAAAAAAAAAATCGTGTAAGCGGATATCTTTTAGGTCACAGCTGAGATTTAATTACAACTTTTGGCCAGCGAAGAAAAGGCAATGAGCGTCCATCTCGAAAATTGGCTGAAAGTCGGAACTAAATCCCAGCTCCGTTTTAGATGACTTTCCGAACTTTTCGCGTTATTCGCGTTACTTTTATTGTTCTAACGAAGTGAGGGACAAAGTTTCACTAAACGCGCCTCGATCAATGGGCACGCATCCGCGTAATACATGTGTGTCGAGAATCCCTACTCGTTAGAATGTCGCTTAGATTCCGATTTCGTTGAAATAATTGATGAAGGAGCGTATTTTGTCTCGAAAGATCCGATCACTCACATCGCTCGTGTGACACGCCACATCCGAGGCTGGATTATGCAAGATGGTTTCCATTTAGCAACGCAAATCGACACAAGCATTGTTCTACCTTTGTTATTCACTGGATGTTAAAAAAAAAAAAGACAAAATGACGCTTGTGTCGACTTGTGTCGCTAAATGGAAAGCGCCCTTATTAAACTCGAGGACGTACAAAAGTGGGTATACACTGAACGCGTGTGAAGAGCGAGCGAGCGAAGTGCAAACTGTTTCGCGCCGCTGTTTCGTCGACTTCTCGCGTTTACATCGGACATATTCATTCAATTGGAACTTGGCGTTTGCGTTTATCATTTATTTAAAGATAGGTATACACCGAGCGAACAAACGACGCGAAAGTGCTTCAGTATATACCCCGCCCGAAGAGTCGCAAGGCGTGGAGGAACTCCTTCACAATGATAACAGCACCGTGAGAGTCAACGGGAATTGAGGTAAGGCTTCTCTACAGCGCGGAAAGAACGTCGCTCATCCACCTCAGGCTCGCGTAATCAAGTTGTCGTAAGAAATCCGCTTGTCTCACCGCCGCGATTCCGACGCGGCATGTAACAGCTTTGAAGGAAGATTTATTTTAATTTTTTTTTTTGCTACCGATAAACAACAGAATTACACCGTGCAGAATTAACAGCTCTTATCTGAGAGAGATACACTTTTATTGCCGTACTAATATATTACCGTAATATTTTTATTCAAATTTGTGTGCTTATCGATCTATTGAAACGCGCCTCAAGTGAATCTTTTATCTTATTGAAATCCGTTTTATGAAAATAAAAGAAAAAAAGAGGCTAAGACTCTTCTCTAAAGCGCGGAGAGATCGGGTGATGGAGGCTTTAGTAATACAGTCCAATTATTATTATTATTTATATCGCGAATGCTGTTTGGCGACAAACAGAATTCTTCCAACGACTTCTACGTTATGGAATAACGTATCGTGTACGGTAAAAGCTCGATCGAACGCTTTCGAAGAGAATGTTTAAACCGAACGAAAAATACATGCGCAATCAATGGACGTGGCAAAACGATAAGCGATACAAATCACTTTGGGATACGAAAATATGAGCGATACGCCCGTTAATTGGAAGAACGATAAATCGAGCTCTGTCACCGTATACATCTGTGTATGCAATGTGTGTGTGTGTGTGTGTGTCCATGTAATGTTTGTGTGTGTGTGTGAATACGTAACGAATATATACGTGTATATATGTAGAATGCACGAAGAAAACGACTCGCCGATCACGCACATCGAAGGATATCAACGAGCCGCATATCGAGCGGAAGGATTTCCTATCGAGAAACAAGTTTCCCGCGAGAAACTGCCTGTCCAAACAAATCAGGACTTCCCTTCCGCCTCTTCACCGACGCGACTTCTTCGCCGACGTGTGCCTTACAACGTTACCTTAGTACCATAGTTCCGTAATCTCCCCGTTCCGTTGCGATTCGCATCGTTACTTCCGCAGCAATTGGCAGTATCGGGATAATCATATCACAGCTTAAACGACAATGGAAAAAGGAAGAAATAAGAGAGAGTACATTACTACCGTGCATTTTGGAAATAAATATGAAAATACGCGATAAATTTATCGCGAAATTAAACGCGGCACGATATCATTTATCCTGTGATGTGTATAAAATTTCATATTATTTCCATACAATGTATTTATTCATATGATTATAGTTGCCCGAAATTATTAATTCCTCGAAATTTTCAGAATTTCTCAAGTATCACAGGATAATTTGTAGAGCATAACGAGATCAATTTTGTGAATTATCCAACGACAAAAAATTAGTGTTTCCTGTGAAATATTATGTAAAAATAAAAAGATGTGAGGGAATAAAAATAAAAAAATGTGAGTGAAAATAAAAAGATGTGAGTATTGAAATAAATTTTATAATTTAACTATACTTGGAAAAAAAAGGTAAAATTAATATTTAAAACGCTGAACTCTTTATCACGGAAATATCGCGCGGACAGGGGCTCGAATTGCAACTATGCACGCAACGCAAACGCGGAGATTACACGTGAGTGTTAAGAGTAAAACGTATTCTACGGTAAATCGTTAGCTCAATTCCAAAACGGAGTACAATCGTCCGGCCAAGCACATTTACGCGGATCTGTGAAGTTAGCACGACATTCTATTAATATAAAAACACAATTAATATAAAATTAATAGAAAACAATTAATATAAAAAAAACAGTTCCAGTAGCACTTTTCGTAGTTCTACAATTCCTTATAAAAATGAAAAAAAAAAAAATTACAAAACTTTTTTTTACTTTTAGGGAACTGTAGAGCTATGAAAAGTGCTACTGGAGCTGTAATTGTTTTTTTTTATATTAACAGAATGTCCCGCAAAACTTCACAGATCCCATTTACGCGGCACTCGCGCGAGCACGGGCCAAGAAAGTAGGTTAGGGCTGGTGACAGGGGTAGTTGAAGAGGGGGGGGCTTCACAGGTTTCACAGGTGTGCACCAAACAAACGGGCTCGTCTGGGCCAGCTCTCAACCCCCGAGCCACTGCGATAGTGTCAGATACGGGCTGCGCTGAACGCGCGTGAACCGCAACTGCGGGCCACCCCATCACGGAACAGAGTTTATTTAGTATACGCAAGAGAAACACACGGCAAAGGTAAACCGAGGTATCGCCGAGCTTCGCGGTAGCACGCGCACAATTCCCGGCACTGTGTAGTTTCTTCTCTCGGGGCGGGACGAACAGGCGGCGAGGATGGGAGGAAGGTGGTAGGGCTGGTCGTGCCGCGCCGAGCGGCGAGACGACGCGACCTGGGAACTCGTTTCCTCCGCGGGTCCGCGTCGTCGTGAGGGGACACAGGCCCGCAGGATGCCGCCGGAACGGCGGTAATTCACGTCGGGTAAAGGCTCGTGAAACTCGGTATCCTCCAGCTGACGGCCGCCAGGAGGGACACCAGAAAGTTGCTCGCCAAAATTGCCGGGCTGAGGTTCCTTCTGTCGCCCCCGTGCATCGCCGCCGGCTTCTCCTCCTCTGGAATCAGATTAGAAGGCTGCGCTTCATACGACGATAAGAGGAGGATGCGGGAGGATGGAAACGTAGGCTGCTTAATTTTAGATTGTTACTTAGTCGTATACGCGAAAGGCCTGGGATTATAATTGTACATGCGAAGACGTATGAGACGGAGCTACGAGACGCTCCGCTTGCACAGCCGATTATCTCAACAAAACGCTCTTCTCCCAGAATGATATATTATTTCCCGGAACGATAGCTTTCCTAGAAATGATGCATTAAGGAATACATTTAACTTGCATGCTTACGTTAAATCTCACCAATTATGTATATTCATTTGCGGATTTTCCGCGCAATGTATGTTACGTGCACATTAGCATATTATTATTCTTTCGCGTATCTCGAAAGAAATTTTTACATATTTTTCCTATATACAATTTTCTCGTTAATTTCTTTCAATAATTATAATAATTTATTTCTGACCTAAGAAATATGTTAATAAATTTTCAAATAGCGAACACACACACACACACACACAAATGAAAGTAAAACAAAATTCTAGCAATAAAGGAATAATGATAAAACTTACTGTTGTTGTATCTTAGAAATATTAGAAAGCATTTGGAAACTGTGTATCTCTAGACTAAAGAAAAATTTATGTCTGGAGGAAAACGTGAAAATGTTGTTCTCAAAGAGAATAGTAAAACTTTCTCACGAGAATAAAAGCAAAGTGTTAAACGATGTTTTCTTAGACTGTCGAACGTTGCTAGTTGAGATGTAAGGTGAAGCGCGGATCATTTCACACTTCCTGCTGTGGCAAATACTTCTTGACAATCTGGTCACGTGCGTGACGCTCCCTACTTATCACGTACTTCGACATCAACAGAGACATGACAAATATTGGATGAATATCTTCGACGTCAAACTTTGCGAGTCAAACTTTTCTTACACCGTCTTGAAACTTGAAAATAAGCTACATAAAATCTATAGTATAGTTCATTTTAATTTAATAAATTACCCATATATACAAATTATACGCAAAGACTAAGCATAATAAATGAAAAATTAATTTTGGATAATTAAATTAATTTAGTAATTTAAAATTACATTTGTGTGTGTGTGTGTGTGTGTGTGTGTGTGTGTGCAATTTTAAATTACAAATTATTAAAATTATTTCTTTTGTTATTCTTTATGTCAAAATTTGCAAGTAAATTTTTCAGTACAATAAGTTAATATTAATTTTATAAAATTTCTGACAATTTAAAATGTTCTTTTACTTAGCAATTTCCACTCGCAAAAACATATTTGAAACCTGATTATAAAAGTTATGACAACATAACAGTTTTCGACTATTACAATGCAAGTTAATTATACTTTTAATTCGCAAATATTAATCTAAATGCAGCAGTCTGAATTTATCCAGCAAAAGGAACTTTTCAAAAGTTCAGCCGTTGAATCTTATTCAATATATTGTCTTTTTTCTTTTTTTTATAAGAACAAACTCGGCCAAAGGAGACAGTAAACTTCAATGTAAATAGACTTAATACAGCGTAAACTGATGTTCCGGGAAAACTTTCGATGGCGATGTGGAAGGCGTTGTAGCGCGAGCACGAGAGGGAAAAAAATGAAAATAAAATCGCGAGTATCGTCTCGTAAGGGGAAAATAATAGATAAGTTTGATAATGCCCCACGGACTATCGCGTTATTACGTAGTTACTAAGCGCGTTAAAGTGTAAGTAGAGTCGGCCTCGAAGTTACGCCAGTACTTTCGAAAAATTGCGTCGAACTTCGTCCCTGCGGCGAGGGCAAAAGTTTCGTCGTTAGAAAGACGGCGGGTCGTACAATTTTGAGCCGGCCTTCTGTTATCGCGCGGCGGATGGGCTTCGGGATGAATGCGTCTACGAGAGCCGCTAAATCCAATCGTAATGAGCTTCCTACAACCGTTTAATTGTTCGGCTCTTACTCTAATGAATATTCAAGTTCCGCGGAAGTTCTCCGCCCGCCGATCGGCGCCGATCTTCGCCGTCGTAACTAGAGCGAGTCAATTACTATCGCGTTATATATATACCGGAATCGGTGGATTCTGTATGCCTACCGACACGTTTGCGAGCTGGTTACGTGGTGCGGGAATCTTGCCTATAGTGAAGCCTTGGAAGCGATGTTCTAAGCACATTGTAATCAGTGATTTACTGTTTCCATTTAGCAACATCTATAAGAGAGCTGATGAAGCTCGTTAACGATACGTAGTATTATTTTAGTTTCGCTCCATTAGCTCCGTGCTTGTTAGTTACATCCTATTTTTCTTTTTTCGCTTTCTGCCTCGCCATATGCGTCTTCATAATATCTCTGCACACTTTTCTCTATTTTATGATTTTACTTTCGTTATACTTTATTTTGCACAGATCGTACCGATTTATTTCATATTTTATGAGAATTTAAGCAAAATGTACAGTTTTTGAGTGGATATATTTTGAGCGTTACTTGAGATAAAGCGGCCGCATCTTTCAGCAAAAGACAAATATTAATTTCGTTATTAACTCATACGTATATGATTGATAAACATCAATACTGTGGTTTTATGTAGAAGAAAATGAGGGAGAGATGGTATAGTTTATGAAAACATTCCCGTATGTTGGAAAAACAAAATAATCTGGAAACGGTGCTTGGTAACATAAGACTTTTTATATAATTATGTAGATAACGAAAACAAAATAATTTTCTAATGTTTTGAAACAATTTATCGAACAAATTTTGCTTTTCCACCGTTCATATCTCAGAGTTGGAAATAAGATAACGTGCTTCAAAAAATTTATGATAAAATAAAACAAAATAAATTTAAGGCAAAAAGAAAAAATAAATTATTATTCTATTATCGATTTCTTCGTTTTTGCGCTGACATTCAGCGCATTCAATTTCATTGGAATTAGATTCATGGTAGTATTTTATGATAGGTTTTTATTATAAATAACTTTTTTATCATTTTATTTAAATGGATTTTTGCGTCATCTCTTTCTCCGCGCGCGCGCGCGCGTTTTTCATTATAAAATATATTGAGAATCATATAGTTTCTGCAAACATCTTGTAAAAGTTTGATGAATCTAAATATTATAATATATCAATTGCTGGTCAATACGCGATAGTCGCAAAAAAATTTGCTTTGCGACAAAAATGCAAAACAGAATACGACGTCTGCGAATCTCTTTTTTGTACGAACAAAAAAACTCACGTCAGTCAATACTTCAATTTCATTTCACATCTATGTGACTTGCGGAATAAAATTGTCATATCACACTGATATATCATATTGATTGAAATTCATTATTTATTATTTGTTAAAATAATTAAAAATAAGGCAAAAATAACTATTAAAGAGATAATTAAAGAATACAAGTGATTATTATTTTTATCGGGAGAAAAAATTGAATTTTGATTAAAATTTCGTAAAATATACTTTGTCTTTTCCATGCAAATAGATATGAAATAATATTTTGTCAATCCATCGCCCAGAATTTCGCTCAACAATTTGTCCTTCGGGAATTACCCAGAAAAATAGGGAAAATAGTTTTGTATTTCTCACCTTCGATCACGTGAACTATGACAGACGCTGCCTTGGCGTTGTTAGGCGTGCACGTGTAGTTGCCGTTGTGCGTAAGCTTTGTTTTATTCACCGTCAAAATGGAGCCACTTGGCGTGAGCTTGACGTCGACACCAGGCTCCTCATCGTAATTTATCATACGACCCTGACGATACCAGAAGACGTAAACAGGCTTTTCCGTAGCCGCCATAAGTTGGCATTCCAAACGGAGGCTCGAGCCCTGCTTCACGTGCAGATCAGGCGCGCCTGGTATTATTGAGTACGCCTCCGTGATTTTCAAACGGGCGAAGTTTCGCTGCACCGGATGCGACGTCACCTGCAATCGTGATATAATGATACCCTTTAACACTTCACGGTGCGATAAGACGAACGGTGTGAGCTCTAAAAGATAACAAATTTAATTTTATTCAACTACCTAATTTAAACAGACATTATCACACAATATGTGTCAGATTTTGCTGGATAACTCCTCAGAAATTATATTCATCGCTGAAAAGCGACATTGATTACCCTTTAAAAACCCTGGTTGAAATGAAGGATGCGGTTAATTTCGGCGACCTTAAACATCGCGGTATTTAAGGTCGGTGTGCATCGGCTTGTTAACCGCTTTGACATTTTAACTGACATTTTCATCATGCGAAACCTTTAATAAAGTGTTACATGGAATCAAACGCGAGAAATTACTCAATTTACTTGGGTGCTTATAGCTGAAAGCATCGAAGCACTTTTTCAATCGATAACTGTTAAAAATTTAATCTCTCATCCTTTGTACAGCTTTGCTCTGTAATCGGCCGATATCGAACGGTGATATCCGCCTCATGTTTAAATCTCTTCATCAGAATGACAGTAATCACGGTTCTATTCCCATGTAAAGCTTAATGAATTTTTTGATAAAGGTCGCCGCTTGAATGTAACAGTTCTAATAAATTCAAAGAGAGGAGTATATATTTTAATTTAAAAAGAAAAAAGGAGAAAAAGAAGATAAAATGTATAAATTAAATCTGTACTGTTTTAATATTAAAATTATAATAAAACTATAATCAGATGAAGTGAAGTTATTCAGAAGTATAATAGGGTTGCGAAAGATTTATTAATGTACCTGACATTCGTAAATGCCGGCATCCTCTGCCGTCACGCTGCGTATCGTGAGTTGCCAATCGGTGCTCGAGTGCCTGACGACAAATCTGTTGTCGACGGAATGCGTGGTGGTACCGACTGTTAACAGCTGCCTGTCCCTCCGCCTCACCCATGTGATCTATAACAGGCGAAAAATATTGATATATCAGCGACACTTTTATAAACTTTCAAAAACATGTGGAAACTTTTTTATATCAAGTGAAAATCGTCGGTTTAAGTGGACAAAATACAATGTACGAAAATACAGTCGGAAAAGTAACAGAGAAGATAAACTCGTTTATAAATTTGTAGAATGTTTGAAAATTGAGCTATTAAATCTATAATTTTTAACAAGGAACAATTATGGTTATCTTTGGCCGTAGGACGGAAAGACAATAATTGAATAATGAAAGTTATCTGTGCTGGTGCAGGGAACAGGGGAGCCGGTATCGAAACCAGTTAAGTCATTTACGGTAACAATATATAGGAAACAACGTATGTCATGTGAGGCAAATATGAGAGTTAGGCTTCGTCGCGCATCGAATATCAATTATCACGGCCATTAGAGGTACCCTAATTTCAAGCTAATTTTCGCTCCCCAGCGAACTGACCGCGAAACTATGCTCAATATATCGGATAGCGGCACACGGTATTTTAATCACGCAGCGAATATTACTAATTTCCTGTCATTTTTCGACATAATCGAAGAAATTGATGTACATAAATTAATTTCCATCATTTGAATTTCAAGCGAAAAAGGTTGATTTGAGAATGTGTTGTATAATTGAGACTATTTTAATTATTTATTATTACGTTCTCGAGTCTCTTGGGAAAATTATATTTTAAAAATACGAATTTTAGCGTTTATCTTAAAGCACGTCACATTAAGAAACCTTATAGCGAATGGACCATATACATCGACTTTATGTCACATTCGCTGCGCCGCACAATATATGAGCGACACATATTACCTGCATCAATTTATTATTTCTCTTCCACTTTCCTGCCTTCAAAATGTTATATATAAGCACTAAATATCTCGGCTGTTAATGATTGCTATTATCGAAAATCCACTTTCGTATCAAAGCTTCTTATAAAACGCAACGCAGACAATTTTCATTTTCGACGACGGATCACGATGTCACATTACCAAGCCAATTATTCTCTATGTCTGAGCTCGAGGTCAAAACGAGCCTCTCATCGTGAACGCCTTAGTATTACCAATCGTAACATAATTAGGCTGATTTCGCGTAATACATCCCAGTGAAATCAATTCCCAAGGATATGGCATTTCTGATGCCGGCAAACCCGGTAATCTAGGGTGCTTGCTGTAATCCTGGCTCCTGCCCCGAAAAGGAACTATCTACGGCGCACCGCCGTGTAACGGTGAATCCAATATAGCAAGGGCACGTGCATGTGTGTGTGTGTGTGTGTGTGTGTGTGCTTGCACGTCGCCAATCTTTGACTAGTAGAAGTTATCGGGCGGCGAAGCTCGTGCCTTCTCAATCGGCACAAAGTTACAAGAACTTGCCGATGTCTTCGCGTATAGCCGAACGTACAAAGACACCAAAATCCCTTCAACGTCCGTCGTTTGGTTTCTACTATGTAACTCTAGATACGGGTGAGCACATATGCTGGGATGAGCGATTCTCTGTCTTGCGGAAGCTCACGGACTTCATTGCTCGAGGTACTTGCGTAGCCAATTAAGGAAGCTCCCACGTCCATTAAGAGCTAGAATCAAGTTGCGGTGAAGCAGTAAAGGGCTCGGTGTAGCTAATGTAGGTATAATACAATATATATTACGCGGAAGATAACTTGACCCATTTCCGACTCTGGTGACTTGGGCGCTTAAATTATTCCCAGGAATTGCACATTATTGAAGCGGAACTGTGCTTTCGCAAAAGAAAGGAAAGACTGCATTAAAATTTGTACTAAACAAACATTAATGTTTGTTTGTTTGTTTTTTTAGATTGAAGATAAATACTTTATTACTGAAAGAAGAGCATTTTATTTATTTAAATTTTATGTTTAGTTATTATTAAAATCCCTATAGTTTTATTAAAAAGATCCTTTTGTGCTACAAACGGCATAAAATATAAGCGACTTCTGTAAACTTTGATTATTAAAAAAAGCACGGCAGTGTCTCTTTAATACCAAACGCGAAACTTCTGCGCAGAATTTTATTATCGCTCGCATAAGTTATAATGTCTCATGCGGTGTGAGTCGGTGAGTTCCATCACGAAAGCCGCCGAACTTTCGTGAAAGCATTTCTCAGTTAACAATGCTTCGAATAAGATTCTTGTACACAACGCAATAGCACGGAATACAAAAACTAGTTTACTCCGAATTTCAGATTTCATGTTTTATGCAAATGTAACAGCATCATGGAATTGCAGCCAAGAATAAACAATGTAAATGTACAGTGTATTCCCATCTGATCTGCTTTAATTATACCAAGCTTAAACCGTATGAAAAAAAGCATCGGGATACATCTGTCTTACGAGGAAAAACTGTTGAAAGTCTGCGGGCGGCGGGTCTATTTGGCTTTCCAGCGAAAAGGGTTAAAAGTTGGTAGCGAAGCGAGGCGCGCTGGCCGCCAAGGATTAAAACCAATTAAAACTTGGAACGAAATGCAAATTGGAGTAGCATGTCCGACTCGCGTCGGGCGCCTCTCCCCACTGCGCTTAATTTCCTCTTACGTTGTTTCGCCCGGCTTGATCATCATCATCAGTCTTATTAGACGCGGGTTAGGTAACCGATGGCCCCGGAATTCCCGCAGGAAGCTATTAAACCGAGCCTTGTGGGGATCGCTGGCCTAGGATAGCAGGCAAGACTTTGCACAGCGGCAAGTGATAGCGTCTACACGCATGGAAAGTGCATACATGCGGCACTGTGCACGAGAGCTAAGGTGGCACCACTACGCATCGGGGGCTTAATTGGGAAATACCCCGGGCTGCAGCGGGCGACCCACGGCACACATTCTTTATCTGTCGGCCGGGAATTGCCGTCCGCAATCGCTAACTTATGCTACGCTACATTCTGGATATCCCGTAAAAATAAATGGCGCGAGCAAGAGCGAAATTGTATTTAAACATAACTGGAAAGCTAGAAGCTGCAATAATTGTGGAATAAGCGCGCGCATAATGAAATATTATTCTAATTATTTTGAAATATTACGGCTGCGAATATTTTTGTCACAAAAAGTTGCATCCAATCGATAAAGTAAATTTTGCTGCGAGTGAAACTGCTGGGTTTGTGAAAAAAAATTTGTTGAGAGAAAATGCTCCCGTTCGCAGCGAAATCGTGGCAGGAGGGAAATTAAAGGGCCCTCCCCCTTCCCCATCGCCCCTGCACTTCTGCGCGATCACTTTCGGCTCTCTTCCTTGATATAGCATCGGGATCGCCGATAAGGAACGCCGAAAGTTCATTCGTTTATCAAGCGAACCGTTTTAGAAGTATTCTTGTAATGAGGAAAGTTGCCTCACCTACTGCGCGCGGGAATCAAGCCAACCACCACACAGCCGCATACTATACACATCACAGCGTCGAGAATTTAAAGCCGTAGCGACTGCATCACTCACAGGATTGAGGAGAACTCAAAGCGAGACTTGGTTCAAGTACTATTATTTAGCTTCGTGTAGTGAAGATGCACATTTTAAAATTTTTCGTTGCAATCACGAGTCGAAACATTACATACGTCGTTCTCTTTAATATCCCTTACAAATGACGTAATTTAAGTTTATTAATTAAACTCGTTTACGTAAAAACAGTAAAAGTATAAAGTACTACTTAGAAATATATAAAGTATCTTTTTATCAAAGATTTTAAATAATTTATACCATACACATATATGTAGTAAATCTAAATTACTAAAAAATACGCTAGATCTTTCGGTATGCATAATTTATTATCAAACTGTTTTTTTCTATCAGTCAGTTTAATTTAAAAAAATACTTACATCATCATGTAAATATGATTTTTTGCATAAAATTACAGAAAATTACTATTTTCGTAGCTCGTGACAATAAAAGTCAATTTTCGGGTATATGCTGGAAGCGCGAAGTGACAGCGAATTTGTGCATTGATTATAACTTAACGAGGTCTCGAGGTTTAGTTTCAAAACAATTATAATCGATACGTCGATTTTGATGTATTGAGGCGCGAAAGCGTGGTGGTCAATTACTGCGCGCCGTTCAATCTATATCTGTTACATGATTTGACCAAATATTGATGTTATCATTGTATAGAAGTGATTGACGTTAACCAATCGTAGAGATGATTCGTACATGACGCTTCCGATAACAGTTCGAATTTGAATTCCATATGTTAGACAAGTTAAAATGGCGAACTTTTCGATGAAATGAATGAAACGCGTGCTGTACGTATCGTATATATTCCGTTCTGTTTAGCAAAATATCGTGTTGATTTATAAGAAATTGAAGCTGTCATTAAATAATGATATTACGTTTACGTTACATTAGTTATGAAAGCGGATATCGATGTGAGAGCATTAAAAGCTTAATTTATTATATCATCATTTCATAACATGTATCGATTCCATCCGCGCCATCCAATTTGTCCTATCTGTTTGTATTTATCAATCGCGATGCAGCGCAACACATTTCATTTAGTTTGCACATAAAAGGACCCTTTTGAAGCCGCGTATTTTCCGAACTCGATACAGCCGCCCGCGAGCAAATTATATTACATACATCGCGACCGGGGCGATCCGGACGCAGCCGCGAAGCTTTACGGCATCAGTTTCCAAAGGACGAAGCTCTTGAATCCTTCCGTTTCACTAATGGATTTTGCGCGACGCCTCGAAAGCCCGCATTATCCGCAAAATAGAAAGGGACACGTGCAATCTTGCGAGCGAAAGACGCGGCGAGATACCGTGGGATACCTCGGGGTGGAGTACTTTTAATGTCTCAATATGAAGGAATTTTTCTCTCAGATCTTTTCATTTCTGGTAATTCCACCATTCCTCTTCAATCTCTCACTCGCTCCATCCACGTCCTCAAAGAAGACGCCACTGCCGCGCGCCTCTATCCCTCGTATCTCACCACCCGGATACCCTCCATTACGCCCACGCCCCATCTTATCCCGCGATAAGACGATTCGTCGTGGCCGACGACATCT